GAAACCAAACCTTCCTGGTCCTAAGGGTGCCTGGGAAGGGGGCGGCCCTACCCGTCTAGGCGGAGGTTGGGGTTGCTGCACTCACCATCTCCTTTGTGGAACACTAACATCTCCCAAGACAGAGGCTTCCTGGCATCATCAGGTAAGACCTGGGCATCTTGGGTGCACAGGCAAGGGAGATGGAATGGGGGTGCCAGAGTGGGTTGCCTGGCCTGGAGGATGGGGTCGTGGACCAGAATTTAGACCTGTGGAAGGGCAGGTGGGAGAATGGGGGCCATGAAACTAGGCCTGGAGGCAGGAGTTGTCAAAGAACAAAGCCTGTGCTTAGGAGGACATCCACCCCAGGGCCTGGGGGGCCTGGACCCTTAACCTCCTCACGCAGAAGGGGTTGGGTGCAGATGGCTGTCTCTGGGTATGTGGACACAGTAGCTTGGGTTTACAAAGCAGTTGAGCTGTGGTTGAACGGCAGGAAAAGGGCTGGGCTGGGGCGTTTGCCTGATCCTGGGACGATATATGTGTTAGGGTGGTGTTGGGTCATGGGGGAATTTTTTCCCTTAGAAAGGGGAAGGGGTGCATTCAGTTAGGAGTTGCTGGTTGGTGGCTAGCGGCAGGCAAGGAGGGCAGGAGTTTCTGATCTAATTTCCTGCTGTGAAGGGTTCTAGGGATTACCTCCCCTTGAGGGGTTTCTGCAGCCTACTTGTCCTGAGTGACCTGGGAAGGATCTTGGACCCCCCTGGAGGTCACAAACAAGCCAGGAGCCTGGTGGGAGAGGCTTTGAAAGAGCTGAGAACCTCCTATGGCTGCCAGGTGTAGGGAGAGGTGTGGAGCATTATCCAAGCCCCAAGCCTAACTGGCTCCCACGAAGGCACCATACCCCTGCCCTTCCTGCCCTCAGTAGCTCAAAGCTTCTTAGGGCCACCCTCTTCCTTCTCCTCCTGTGTCTTCAGGGGCAAGGGGAGGAAGGAGGTAGTGAGAGGAAAGCAGGACTGACCACAGCAAGGACCAGTAGGAGGCTCTGGGTCTGCAGGGGAACCTGGGGAGAACCCTTGACCTAAAGCCCACCCACGTCCACATCCAACATCCCCAGTCCAGGCCTCTGGCCAGGATTCCATGTGGGCCCAGTGTAGGGGGCATGATGGGGACTATTCTCTGATCTGCTCTCCTCCAGACTCCCCTCCTAGCCTGATGGGGTGGGAGCTGGGGCAGGGAATGGGCATCACTGCCCTCCGCTAAGTCCCATCCCACCTGGACACCTGCAGGGCTCCCACCACAGTTAGCACCTCCACCGTCATTGCAAGTCTGCCATGACTGCCACTGTCGCCACAGCCTCCCCCACCCCACCATCAGCACCACTAACACCCCTCCTACCCCTACCCAGATCACTGCCACCACTGAGACCCTCACCCCCTCCATGAAGACCACCCCACCCCTAGACCGGACAGACTTTTCACTCTTCAGTAGATTTTCAAGCCTATAACCCCTTAGGCTGTGGCGCTGGCACACACAGTCCCCATTCAACAGAGCCTGCCACCCAAGGGGAAAAGGGCTTTGCTGGAGGACACGGGGACTCGCACCTGAGCTGCAGGGCAGGGCTGTGGAAAGAGGCCAGGCAGACGCAGCTCAGGGCATAGCTGGAGGCTTCGGCTGACCAGAGCTCACGGCTGGGCAGCACTTCTTTCCTGAAGGGAGACCTGGAGGGAATCTTCCACCTGCCTCCTCCCATCTGGTTCTGGGCTTGGCAACCTGAGCAGGAGCCCTCAGCATGGCGGGGCAGTGGCTTCCATCTTCTGGGATTCTCCTGGCTGGTAAGTGGGGGTGTGGCCCCTGGGGGGCCCATAACAGACACCGCCAGCTCGCTTTGGGACTCCCACGGCTCCCACGTCAGGGCTGACCTTCCTTATCTTCATGTCAGCCCAGCTTTGTCAGCTCGGAGGATCCTGAGACAGGGCCACGATCCCCTCCTCGGTCCCCCAGGCTTGGGTCTCCCCAGGGGCACTCAGTGTCACTCACTGGGGAAACCTGGCATTGGGCTGGCCCCAAGGGGCTCAGTGCACCCTTGCAGCCAGAGGTAGCATTATGGCTTTCAGAAATGGGGCCCTCCCCATCCCTCACCCCTTTCAGCCATCAAGCATCCTGGGTTCTGGAAATGTGATGAGGTGATTGCCTCGTTCCCTTGCTGGAGGCTGAACAGCACTTGCCAGCCCCCTCCAGCATCCTGGGTCTCACCAGAAAAGGACTTCCCTTGGGACGGGGTCCTGCTACGGGGTGGAAGAAAAGAGTGGGAGCCTTGAGGTATACCCTCTTACCCTCACAGTCCCCCTTTCTGATGGCAGGGCAGGGTTGCCCTATCTCTGGTGGGCTTGGATCAGAGAGGGGAGATTTCTCTGGAGGTAGACCAGTGGTTCGGGGCAGAACCGGGGCCAGGGTTTGGGTCTCCTTGGGTCCCCTAAAGGAGGGAGGTGGCAGGGAGGGCAGGTACCTGAGACTGTGGGCCAGTTCCCAGCCCACTGAGTGGCTGATAGAAAAGGCCTCTCCTGGTTTGCAGCTGCCCTGGTGTTCTTGGCTCCTGCCTTGCCCCTTCCTCCGGCTCATGAAGACCTGGGCCCATCTCCCTGGACCTCTGGCACATCTGCTTTGCGAGCTGGCGGCAAGGAGATACTCCTCCCATCATTAAACCGCTTGGTGCCAGTTCCTGCAGGGATCTCTCCCTCAGCTGAGAAGTCAGGAGAGGCTCCTGGCAGGAGGGCAAGAGGCCTTTTCCCAGAGGCCCCTGGGGACCAGCAAGGTCTCCTAGGTGTCCTCCTGGACTTGCAGCTCCTCCCAAACCAGCCTGCCCCTTTGGGACCCTCTGGCACCCCAGGAGGGGCCACACACAGGCCAGCTCCACCCGCAGTGGCTGAGCCTGCAGCCCACAGCACCCCCAAGTCCCGGCCAGTGTCGCATGTGGCTGCATCTGGAGATGGAGAGGAGATCTTGGTCCTTGGGTCTCCAGAGAGGGCTGCCACATCACCACTGCAGGCTTCTCCCCAATTGCAGTCCCAGCCCGTGAGCAGGCATCTCTTGAACCCCAAGGTCTGGACACCGTCTGCATCAGGGGCCAGCAACTTCAGGCCAGGGAATGCCCCACTTCTGATGTTGGCTCCAAGGGTCCCAGAGAAGGCCGTGTCCTCAGCATCCCAGGGCCCGCTTGCATTTACATCGATCAGTCACGTGCTGGCTGCCACAGAGCCGCTTCCTCCTGTAGCAACAGTGCAGTCAGTACTGGACACGGCCTCTGCAGCCCTCACAGTGGTCTCAGGCTCCCCCAGAAATGGTCTGGCGTCCAGTCTGGGCCTGGGTCCTTCAGTGTCGCCATTGCTCTCAACAGTACCCTCTTCACAGTTGTCATCAGCATTACCGCCACGATCATACCCACTCACATCCCCATCACCCACATTGGCATCACTGTCACCCATCGTGGGTCCAGGTTCCCCCTTCACCGCCAGAGCCAGAACCTCCCAGGACGCTTCTGCATCTGTGCTCCCCCGCACAAGCACAGGCCGCCTCTTCAATGTTTCCAGATTTCCACCTGCCCAGTCACTTCCGGTGGTTCCAGGGATGGCTGCTCTTCAGCAGACAGTCCAGCCTAGGCCATTGGTCCCTGCTAGCCCAGCCTCCGTGGCCACCCTGTCCCTCAGAGGTGCCCTTGGCCTTCCTGCTGGCTGCCCCAGAGTCCCTGGAGGTGTGGCCTCCCCCCAGTCGTCTTCCCTGTCTCGTCCCCGCCAGACTGTCTCATTGCAGGACTCGAGATCCCCCTCCCCACGAGCCAGCCGTGTGACTCACTTTGTGACCTTCAAGATCACCAGCAGAGCCTCGGTGGTGGCACTTGGGAGCCCTGACTCCCCGGAGCACCAGCTGTTGAAGGACAGCATCCGACATCAGGTGCGGGCTTCTTCCTTCATCTGCTCAGGAGGGCTGACCCCAGCCCACCCCACCCGCCTCTGAGCACACACTGTCTCCACTCTGTGCTTTGGCTCCTGCTATTCCTCCACTCTGGGCCACCTCGCACCCTCCACTACCCTGGCCCTTGGAGGGACCTCCCCCTGTGACTCAGACCCTGGCCCCACGGAGCCAGAGTCTCCCTCTGTCGGCTCCCTTCCCCACACTGTCCCCTCCCAGCATGCCTCTCCCTGTGAACCACGGCTCCCTGGGGGCGGCCGGGCCCAGGGTGGGGTGCCCACGGGGGCTCTGCAAGTATGGAGTGAGTGAAACCCCCCCTGGGCTTCTCGTCGGTGTGGGGAGGAGCATGTGGGGTGCACGGTGGGAGCCCAAGAGGTAGAAAGCTGACCCTATCCTGTGAGTGGCTCCAGCAGGAAGGGGGAGCCAGACAGAGACTCTTGCAGAGACTGGGTTTGGGGAACTCTTACAGGATAAGCAGAAGACTGGTTTAGATAGCTGGGGTCAGGGGGTTACCCAGAAAACACCTTTCTGAGGAAGGAGAATTTTACCTGGGATGGACAGAAGGCTAAGCCAGATGGAATGAGCAAGCGTTTCCTAGACAGAGGAAACAACATGTGTGAGGACCCTGAGGTGGAAAGGTAGGTAGAGGCTGAGGTCCAGGGTCACGGGTGAGAGGGACTGTCTGGAGAAGGCTCGAGGCCTGGGCTGGGTGTGGGGGAGAACTAGGAGGAGGGGCTGCCGCCTACAGGGTGGTGGCTGCGGGCATACAGACTAATTGGATTGGAGAGCCATTTTCAATAAAACTGCAGAGAAGGAAAGGCCTGGGAAGGCCGTGTGTTTGCTGAATAGCTGAGGGCACCTTGTGGTTCTCAGTAGAGGGTGGTTGGCAGGGGGTCTCTGGCAGCCACGCAGGGAAGGCTTGGGTGGCCCCGGGCAGTCCAGGTGGACAGTGAGGCCATTGCAGGGCCCAGACCAGAGATAATGAGGGTGGGCTGACGCTGTGGAGAAGTGGGGGGCTGTGAAGACCTCACCTGGCTCTGTCTGTCCCCAGCTCCAGTCCCTCTATCATGAGGCCTTCTCCAGCTTTGAGGGCGTCGGTATCCTGCAATTCAGGTGAGCAAGCAAGTCTCTTAGGGTCCACCACCCATCTGCCAGCCGGTCTGCACCTTCTCAGGTCACAGGTGTACTCAGCCAAGCTGCCCTGCCCCACTCAGTTCCACCACAGCACCTTGGGGGCCAGAAAAACCCTCAGTGGGCAGGCAGGAGGCCCACATCCAGTTGTGCCTCTGGCTGTGTGAGCTTAGGGGACCTCCTGCCTGCTCTGAGCTCCAATTCCAGCTGCAGGATTGGGGCATGGGTGCTAGGTTTTGCCTGAACCTGGCAGAGGACTTCCCTGGGGCGAAGAGCCCTTAAATGACATGTGCCTGTGTACTAAATCACTAAATCGGTCATGTCCGGCTCTTTGTGACCCTGTGGACTGTAACTCACCAGGCTTCTCTGTCCATGGGATTCTCCAGGCAACAATACTGGAAGGGGTTGCCATGCCCTCCTCCAGAGGATCTTCCCAACCCAGAGATTGAACCCACATCTCTTACATTTACCTGCATTGGCAGGTGGGTTATCACTAGCGCCACATGGGAAATTAAATGACATGTAAGCAGGTACAAATTCTCTGGGGTGGGGGGGGATTGGGCTCTCTGGTTCTGAGCCTCTGAGGATGAAGTTGGAGTCCTAAAGCCAGATTTGGTCAGCAGATGCCAGTCCTGATATCTTATAGAAAAGGTTGAGAAAGTCCAAATCATCACAGCCCCATATGAGCTGTGAGCTCAGTGTGGACCTTGATGGAAGCTTGATTATACCTAGTGATGGGAAGTTCACCATCACTATCTTTCCTTGACCCAAGTTGGTTAGAAAGCTTCCCCTCTGAACTGAAATCAGTCTCAGGATTCCCTGCCCTGGGTCTGAACAGAGGCTTTGTCTTTCCAAACCCAGTAGGGCATAGCGCAAAATGGGTACTCTGGGGAAGGATGAAGGAAGTCTGTGTCCTGAGGCTGCTTGTTTTCAGATCTTTCCCCACAAACTCCTTCAACCCCGTGCTCAGGCCAGGCTGCCTCCTTGGGACTTGGCCACGTGGCCAACCTCCCACAGGCTTACAGGGATTCCTCAGGCCTGTCACCTCCCTCTCTCCCAACCCCCTGCTCCTTGTGATCCTCAGTCTGGCTCAGGCTGACTTCCTGCTTGCTCCCAGCAGCCATCTCCCTGGGTGGGATTCCCAGTGTTCCCATCAGAGCCAGTTTGTTGGGCTGTCCAAGGGGACTGGCTTTCCCAAGCACCTGCTGTGTGCTCCTCTGGCTGCACCAGTCCCCACACAGCCCTACAGAAAGGGATCATTATCCCGATTTTAGCTAGGAGCTCAGCTGAGGCCCAGAGGGGTGATGTCACACAGCGACCCACTCCACAGTTCCCTCCTTCCTCAGGACCCTGGTCCTATGCACCAGCCAGGTCCTGATCTGTCCCCCAGGGTTCTCCCCGTCCCTACTGGACCCCTTATAAGGAGGGGTCTGTCCACAGGCCCGACTCCGCAGCTGTGAGCGCCTCCCTTCTGTTTGGGGGCCACGTCCCGGGCCCCTCTGCCCGTGAAGTCCTCTGGACCCTGCACCGCTCAGTGAAGGCCGCAGGGCAGATGCTGGGGAACCTGTCCTTGGATGAGAGCAGCCTCGCCTCGGATGGTGAGTCTCTGCCTGCCCTTCTTCCCCCACCCCCTACCTTAGTGCCCATGGACAGCTGGGGGTGCTCCCTAGAGAGGTGCACCCCCTGTCCCAGCCATGAGGCATGGGGTGATGGATCAGGAGGCTCCCAGGGCCTCCTGAACTCCCAGCCGTGGCTCTCAGGGTCCAACCTGACTGACCTGGCCCTGGAGACCCTCAGCATCCATCTCACAGCCATGGAGCCCTTCCATCCCCTGCTCCTCCTGCCCGGCTCTGCCCCCTTTGTCCTGCTGGAAAAGAAGATCCTCCCACAGGTGAGGTGGCCTCTGGCCTGCCCTCCAAGGCCTGGGAATCACTCTGCCTTCCTTGACTGCAGGCCTCTGTGGCTTGGGGGTGAAGGGTGGGGTGGCACCCAGCCTTGGTCCTGTGAGGGGAGGCAGGCATGAAGGGCACACAGCCCTACTCATTGGGCCCCCATTTGAGGGCTGACATTCTGCTTTAGGGTGGGGAGATTGGGGCAGGAAACAGTTCATCCCAGTGGGCTATGGTCAGGCTCTGAAATCAGACACCCCTACCCAGGGCCAGCACTAGGGTGAGTGAGGGAGGCACCCAGGATGCAAGGTTTAAGGAGCTGCTCAGTTGCCTCACCCCAGTCACCCCTCCCCACCCCATGCTGGGTCTTAGAGCTCTGGGCCCACCCTGAGTTCCAGGACCCCCCACAGGTCACGGCCGTGGTGGCAGAATTCTATTCAGCGCATCCCCAGGAGGGGCCCCTGCTCCTCTTCAGGTGGGTGGGGCTCTCCCCCTGCAGCCCAGCCTGCCCTCCTCCTCTCCCGGGGGCTGCCCTGGGGCAGAGGGGGCTGTGAGCCAGGCCATGGGAGCCGCGGGCTCAGGGGCCACCAGGGGCGGGCTTTGTCCCAGGTAGCCCCAGCTGGCCCTGTAAAGCCCTGAGCCTGAGGATGTACTGGGGTAGGAGGCTGGATGCCTGCTTCTAGAAACATGTGCTGACCGAGCCTGTAACCCTTGCACGCCACCCCCCCCCCCTTTGTACTTGTCCTAGTAATGTGGACCAGTGGGTGGGCCTTTACATCGAATACAAGTTCCAGACCCCCATAGCTACCCACCTCCCTGGCTTGGCCAATCACCTGGCCCGGAACATAATGGATCCTGCTGTCCAGAAATCCAGCATCATGGCCAACGGTGAGTCAGGGCTGGGATCCTTGGGTATCTTTGGCCGGAAGCCTCTTAATCTCTCTAGGTCTCAGTGTTCCTCCTTTGGCCAATGGACAGAATTTCATCTCAGTCACACCTACTCTTATCCTGGGGCCACAATCAGATGTGGGACCTTAGATGGGGAGCTGGATAGATAGGCTCTGTGGGCCATCGTGTCTGTCATAACTACTTGACTGCTCCCTTATAGAGGGAAGGCAGCCACAGACGTCACACAGACAGATGGGTGTGGCTGTGTGCCAGTATGACTAGACGGGTATGGAAACTTGTATGTCACATAATTGTGCCACAGGATACCATCCTTTTGATGTTTTTCAACAATCTGAAAAATGTAGAAGTATTTTTAGCTCATGGGCTAAGGCAGCAGGGCTGGACTGAGCCTCAGACTGTATTGGGCGGACTGTTGGCTGAGAGTGTAGAGGTTGGGGTGTGCAGCCCAGGGCTCCCGGGAGAGGGGCGCAGGCTGATGCCCACCTCCTCGCCCATCTAGGGGAGAAAGCAGAGCTGGTGCTTTGCGAAGTGTGGCTGCAGATCCTGGACCAACCCTTCACCGAGGCCCTGAAGGACAAAACCAGCCCTAAGTCCCAGAGACTTCGGGGGCAATTGACGAGATGGGTGAAGTGGGGAGGGGGAGGGAAGAGCTGGAGGCCTCAGGGAGGGGCCCCAGCAAGGCTGCAGTAAGGCCGTGACCCTCTTCATCCTCTCTGCTCCCCAGCTGACCACTGTCCTCAGGCCTCTGCGGACCTTCGGCCAAGTGGTGGTGGAGAAGTTCCAGTAGGTCCTCGGCAGCTCTGGGTGACCTGGGGCCCAGGGCTGGGCTCTGTGGGTGGGGTCAGGGGCTCAGAGAAATGGCCTTCCTGAGGCCCCCAGGCTCTCTGGCCTCCTGACACTGGTGGTGGTCCTCCGGCTAGGCCTGACCCACTGACCGCCAGGGTGACCGCCACCTTCTTCAGGCCTGCACCGGCCCGAGCCCTCGTGCAGGGCTGCGTGTTCCAGGGTCTGCGAGCCCTGCAGGAAACTGAGGGCCTCTCTGCGCAGATGGTCATCCCAGACCTCGGTCAGTGCCTCGCTCCCTCTCTATCTTCTATCCACCTGCCTCCTCCTTCAGGCCTGTTGCCTCGCTGCCCCTGGTTGCCCTGACTCTGCGGCCTGCCGCCCCTTCCTCCCCTCCCTTCTTCCTGCTGCCCCCCAGCTCTTTAGGGTCCAAGCCCGGCCTCCTCTTCCTGGGAGCCCTCCAAGGTGGCCCCAGCTTCAGAGCTCTGTCCTTGTAGCACTTCTGGGTGAAGCCCCCTCACTCGGGACTTCTCTGCTGGCCTGGCTGTGCCTTCTCGGGGTCTGTGGTCTAGAAGAATGGGGACCCACCCCAGCCACCTCCCTGCTTTGTTCTGCAGCTTCAGGTCAGGCTGACACCTTCATCCCCTGCTATGCTGTGGCTCTCATTATCCTGGGTCTCCTGTTTCTTGCGTTCACCTTGGTCCTGGTGAGTGTCTGTTTGGGCCAGGGGTGCCTTCCTGAGAGACAGGCTGGACCCTTGACCCTCTGCATCAAGCTGAGGGCTCATTTCCCACCTGAGCCCACCCAAGAGAGCAGATGGTCTTCCAGCTGGAAAGCTTGGCCTGACCCCACCTTTCCTGCTCCAGGTGTGGAAACGGAAGACCTGCTTTGGGGTGTCCAGACACATGCGGTAAGACACAGGGGTCAGTCCCTCTGGGGTGTTTACTCTGGGTGAGGTCTGCCCCCCAGCCGCCAAGGCTTTATGCAGACATTTCCCAGTGGGTGTTGACAGAGTGGTACAATCACTGTGCCCTAAAAGTTTACCCCCTCTCTCATGGGAGCTGATCCCGGGGTGGTCAAGCAGAATCCTCTAAATGGGCTCCACTTACCCTCAGAAATGCTGCAGTGGGTGGGTGGACAGAGCCAGAACTTGGGGACCCACGTGGCCAGGAGAGCTGGGATAGGGAAAGAGATCCGGGGTGGGGGGGGTGGTTGCCTCCACCACTGGAGCACCAGGCAGTGACTCCTCCTCAGCCTGGGAGAAGTGGGGACCCCAGGGCCGTGGACACAAGGAGGGCAGGGAGCACCATGCTGGGGTACCTTGTGATTTCTGGCTCCTGGCTTTTGTCCTTTCCTCCACCCCCAGGTGCCCCTTCCTGCTGTTGCTCCTCTAGTGAAACCAAATTCCAGACCTCTCCTCCTGCCCCAACCTGCTCCCAGCCTTCCAGAGTCAGCACTCAGCCCTGAGAAGCAGAGCCAGAGCAGAAAGGCCCCAGCCTGAGGTCCCCACAGCATGGGGAGTGGGGGGCTTCCTCCCTTCCAGCTCAGCTGAGGACTAGACTCTGAGGGAACGACAGAGGTGGGCTGGGGGGAACAGCCCCTCACCACCCACACCAGGGAGACCAGCACACGTTAGCCACAGCAGCCGCCTCCACTAAAGGTCTGGGGAAACCCTTGAGGTCACCGACATACTCAGGTCAAGCCCTGTGGAGCGGAAGATGGCAATACGGAGGCTGCAGAAGATGCGGGAAGGGGAACAGACCTGGCTTCCTCATGCTTGGCTTGACACCGTAGTGGGGCTAGAGGTATTACTGGCCTCAAGACAAACTCTGGTTGTTTGGGGTATGGAAAATTAAATAACAGGAGCAATGAGAAGTTGGTGTGAGATTGCTTTTGTTTCTAGGCAGTCATCTGACAGGAGGACATGGGAGAGGTTCAGAGTAGAGGAGGGGGAGGTGGGACAGAAGACTGACAGGGTCCAGGGTGGGGATGGGGACTCCTGGGGGCAAAGTGTGGACCCAGCCTCGCCTCCGCCTTAGGGCCGGCCACCCTCAGACCAAAGGGCTTTGGGGGCTGGTGGCCAAGGTGAGGCCTGGTTGCTACTCAGCAAACCAGAGCACTGGGTGTGCAGCAGGGACGGTTGGAGCCGTGGGGCAGGCCCGGTGCAGAGACCAGACTGCCTGGCTGGGGGGACCTAGGAGGGAAGCCAAGCTAACAGCCCCTCTGAGGCCTGAGGACAGGGCTGTGAAGGCAGCTTTCCTGGAGGACACCAGGTAGGTGAAGACTATGGCTCACAAATCTCAAGCGGCTCCTGGGCCCCCTGGGCCGTGAGAAGTTTGGTAGCACAGAGGGATGGCCTTTTAAAGGCTTTACAATATTGCTTCTGTTTTATGTTTGGGTTTTGGCCGGGAGGCAAGTGAGATCTTAGCTTTGAGACCAGGGATTGAACCCACACCCTCTTCACTGGAAGGTGGATTCTTCACCACGGGACCACCAGGGAGGTCCCTGTGGTCTTTGAAACCATTACCTAGAATGGAAGGGGACTACAGCTTAGTCTGACCTGAAAGGCTCCCTCTACCTACAGAAGAGCCAGCAGGCCCAGTGAGAGGACCCAGGAGCCTAGGGCCCAGACCATGGGATCACCCGGCTGAAGACAGCGACTGACACCAAGATGCCAGCGAAGGTCAACAGGACGGTCACTACACAGTCAACTGTAGTTGGCAGCTACAGCTACTCGGGGCCCCACGTGGCCAGGAGATTCTTCTGCACTTCTGGAATATGCAATCATTCATTCATATGCCTGAAGGGCCCCTACCCCCCAAGGCCCTACCCCTTGGTACCCAGAAAACCAGCACCCATCTTGGGTCAGCCCTGTTTCCCTACAACTTTTGGCTCAAGGGCCAGAGCAGGCCAGGGACTAGGAATAGGCCCTGGTAGATGCTCCCCTGACAGTCAGGATACCTAAAACATCCCTGCTAATGGTTTTCTCTTTAAAAATATTTATTTGGCAGTGCTGGGTCTTAGTTATGGCATCCAGGGATTGAAGTTGGGCCCCCTGCATTGGGAGTGAGGATTCTTAGCCACTGGAACAGGGAAGTCTCTTATTCCTGCTAGTGTTTTTCTTAAGGAGGGAGGGTAATGCCAGCCTTGTTCTCCAGAGCTGCCGCCCTTACCATGAAAGTCATTTTAGGGATAAAGGAGAGAAGGGGGGCGAGATAAGCAGGAATGAGCCTGAGGGCCAAGGTTGGCGGTAAAGTCTAGTCTCCCTGATCTTCAGGTTTTGGTTGCCTGGCCCTCCACAAACCAGGCTGCTGAGTGTCATGTGAGGCCTTGTATGAAGGTAGAGTTCAGACACACCCAGTGACTTCCGAGGGTTTGAGGGAGAGGGTACAGGGAAGGGAAACCACACGTGGGGACCTAACCTGGTCTCTCTGGAGGTAGGTGACAACACCTGCAGCACCTAAGGAGAAAGGGGCTACCTGGCAAGGTGAGCCAGCCAGGTGGACGCCAGGCTGGGCAGACATCACCAGGGTCTGCCGGAGGGTGGAAGGGCCTGGCAAGCCAGCTCCCTGACACAGACAAGCGAGTCTTTCCTAAGCCAGTCTTCCCTGTGGGCCTGATGGTGTCTGCAAGACACTTCCCACCATCACACAGACTTGTTTGTCAGCAACTCTGGAGCTGCGCCACCCCATCCTCCAGCTAAACAGAGGCTCAGAGGTGACTGTGCAAGTCTACCTTGATCACTCCACCTGCCGCCTGCAGAACTCAGTTCCTTCTAACAACCTAGCATTCACCAAGTACCTATGACACAGGTGCTACCATCCCCACATCACAGCTGAGGAAAGGGAGACAGAGAAAGGTCACAGTCACAGGGCTGGGCTCAGAACCCAGGCTCCCGACTCCAGAGCCTGCGTTCTTGACCACGTGCCTGTGGCAGAGGTGGGGCTAGCATCTGCACCAGAAAGGTGAAAATTCTGCTGCCCACCCAGGGGCAGGGCCTGCAGCCCCAGGTTTGCGGAGGTGGCAGGGCAGGAAACAAGGCAGCCCACTGGGCTAGGACTTCCCCAGGGCCTGCAGGCTAGGGAAAGTGATGTCAGCTGAAACCCCCCCACCTCGCAACATGCACTGGGAACCTTGAATCGGCACCTGCTGGAGGCCAGGGAAGGGGCTCATCTCCCACTGCACCTGCAGGAGTGGGAGGCAGGCAGGGATGGGCACTCTGTCTCCAAGGAAAGCATGACCCCCTGGCTACTCCAAGGCCAGGCCCAGACCTACCAAGGTGGCTGTGTTTCTGGTGAGGGGCTGGTAGACAAGAGGTGCAATGTCCGTGAGGGTTAAGGACAGATGAGGCAATAGGCAAGGCAGTTATGTTCAGTGAGAGCCTAGAGGGGCCAGAAGTAGACAAAGGCCAGCTAGGTCCAGGCCTGGCCCCTTGGGGGACAGCAGACTGGGGGAGGGGTGTCACTCACCAGCCACAGTGAGGGAGCTCAGGTCCACAAGCAGTTGGCCAAGGTCATCAGCACCTGGGGACTATGCACCAGGCCTGGCTCTGGGCTCGGGCTTCTGCTGGCCTGAAGTAGGGAGGGTGGCATGCATGCATGCAGCTCCCCTGACAGTCAGGATATCTAAAACATCCCTGCTAATGGTTTTCTCTTTAAAAATATTTATTTGGCAGTGCTGGGTCTTAGTTATGGCATCCAGGGATTGAAGTTGGGCCCCCTGCATTGGGAGTGAGGATTCTTAGCCACTGGAACAGGGAAGTCTCTTATTCCCGCTAGTGTTTTTCTTAAGGAGGGAGGGTAATGCCAGCCTTGTTCTCCAGAGCTGCCGCCCTTACCATGAAAGTCATTTTAGGGATAAAGGAGAGAAGGGGGGCGAGATAAGCAGGAATGAGCCTGAGGGCCAAGGTTGGCGGTAAAGTCTAGTCTCCTTGATCTTCAGGTTTTGGTTGCCTGGCCCTCCACAAACCAGGCTGCTGAGTGTCATGTGAGGCCTTGTATGAAGGTAGAGTTCAGACACACCCAGTGACTTCTGAGGGTTTGAGGGAGAGGGTACAGGGAAGGGAAACCACACGTGGGGACCTAGCCTGGTCTCTCTGGAGGTAGGTGACACCACCTGCAGCACCTAAGGAGAAAGGGGCTACCTGGCAAGGTGAGTCAGCCAGGTGGACGCCAGGCTAGGCAGACATCACCAGGGTCTGCCGGAGGGTGGAAGGGCCTGGCAAGCCAGCTCCCTGACACAGACAAGCGAGTCTTTCCTAAGCCAGTCTTCCCTGTGGGCCTGATGGTGTCTGCAAGACACTTCCCACCATCACACAGACTTGTTTCTCAGCAACTCTGGAGCTGCGCCACCCCATCCTCCAGCTAAACAGAGGCTCAGAGGTGACTGTGCAAGTCTACCTTGATCACTCCACCTGCCGCCTGCAGAACTCAGTTCCTTCTAACAACCTAGCATTCACCAAGTACCTATGACACAGGTGCTACCATCCCCACATCACAGCTGAGGAAAGGTAGACAGAGAAAGGTCACAGTCACAGGGCTGGGCTCAGAACCCAGGCTCCCGACTCCAGAGCCTGCGTTCTTGACCACGTGCCTGTGGCAGAGGTGGGGCTAGCATCTGCACCAGAAAGGTGAAAATTCTGCTGCCCACCCAGGGGCAGGGCCTGCAGCCCCAGGTTTGCGGAGGTGCCAGGGCAGGAAACAAGGCAGCCCACTGGGCTAGGACTTCCCCAGGGCCTGCAGGCTAGGGAAAGTGATGTCAGCTGAAACCCCCCCACCTCGCAACATGCACTGGGAACCTTGAATCGGCACCTGCTGGAGGCCAGGGAAGGGGCTCATCTCCCACTGCACCTGCAGGAGTGGGAGGCAGGCAGGGATGGGCACTCTGTCTCCAAGGAAAGCATGACCCCCTGGCTACTCCAAGGCCAGGCCCAGACCTACCAAGGTGGCTGTGTCTCTGGTGAGGGGCTGGTAGACAAGAGGTGCAATGTCCGTGAGGGTTAAGGACAGATGAGGCAATAGGCAAGGCAGTTATGTTCAGTGAGAGCCTAGAGGGGCCAGAAGTAGACAAAGGCCAGCTAGGTCCAGGCCTGGCCCCTTGGGGGACAGCAGACTGGGGGAGGGGTGTCACTTACCAGCCACAGTGAGGGAGCTCAGGTCCACAAGCAGTTGGCCAAGGTCATCAGCACCTGGGGACTATGCACCAGGCCTGGCTCTGGGCTCGGGCTTCTGCTGGCCTGAAGTAGGGAGGGTGGCATGCATGCATGCCGAGTCATTTCAGTCATATCCAACTCTTTGCAACCCCATGGACTGTAGCCCGCTAGGCTCCTCTGTCCATGGGATTCTCCAGGCAAGAATACTGGAGGACTGCCATGTCCTCCTCCGGGGGATCTTCCTGACCCAGGGATTGAACCCATGTCTCTTGTGTCTCTTGTATTGCCAGGCAGGCTCTTTACCACTAGCGCCACCTGAGAAGCCCAGGGCTGGTGGTGGGGGCGGGGTGGGGCTTGCCCAAAAGAGACTACAGGGGCCACGAGCTTAAACAAGTTTCTTCCTGGGACATCTTGTCCACATAAGTCAGACCTTATCCTATAGCCACCCTCAGCCTATAGCCAAGTGAGGCTTGACAAACAAATGTCAGTGCTGCAGGGAGGGGGCCTAACTTCACCTGAGACATCCAGCAAAGCTGTGTCTTGCATTTGCCAAGAAGATTCATCAACAACAGAAAGACCTTCAGGTCTAAGTCCAGGGCCCAAGAACTATGGGCCCAAGAACTAGATGTCCACCCAAGGGCTGGAAGGTGGCAAGGCGACGGCCCCAAGTCTCCAGCAGGGAGCTGCAGTGACCAGAGC